ACCCGACTCGGTTGCCTGAAGCTGAAAACAAACACGTTTACTTTTTAGGCGACCGAGTCAGGCGATAGGCCCGATCCGTCGATCCCATCCACAATGGACACCCCGTATAAGGCGACCCACACTCGCACAGGCCAATTTGGCATGGGGTTATTTTTTTAAACACACACGCGGCAGTCACCCCTTGGGTTATTGCCATTTTATCTGGTCAGTTTGTATGGTTGGTATAAGATGTAGAGTTGTTTATTTCGTGCAGAATAATTTAACATCAAATTGCCATAGTGTTTGGTATCAAGTTTATTCTACGCTGAAAACAAAAACGAAGTCAAAATTGATTTTAGAGATATGATAATTGTCCCTCTACCACTCAACTCTAATCCGTGCCTTTTGGAAAATAACTTGGAGTGCAGCCTAAACTTATGGACCCTCACCGCGCCTCGCGCCTGGCTCATGAAATCGGCCACACACGCAGTGTTTTTCGAGAATTTTAAATGAACTATTTGTTTGTTCGAGTTTGATCCCATTCTATCGTATTTCTTAATTTGGCACACACACAAAAAAGGAAATCCTTTTTCACAGCACACTATCGGGATTGTAGGCCGTTTCTGAGGCCACGTCTCTTTACATATCCTCAACGATTTGTAGAGAGATCAAACCGCAACTTCAAACTTTTAAAAAAATTATTAAAAAATAGAGTATACAAAGCTGAATTGTGCGACTTTCCTGCTACTTGTTTCCATTTACGAAAGCAACTACTTGACTCAAATCCTTTAAAGAATTACAAGAGAAAAAGATATCCAAGATATAGAATAAATTCTAAAGGTATTTCATTTTGTGAAGACCCCTGTCATTTCTTAGGCATGTAAAGCTTGTTGATACGACACACAAAGCATGCTATTGTCATTTATTGTGTTTTGTGTTTTGTTATCCGGTACGCCTGTCGCAATTACAGTCGTCTGCGTAAGATTTTGCAATTGTTGTGAAAGTTATGTGTGGGGGTCCTCCTATTCGTATTTTTTCCACTTTCGTTTTGTCCTTGGTTTTTTTTTTTAAGGCGTTCGTTGACTCAGCTGTTGTATTACTGTCGGGCAAAACGTTTCCTGTTACAAAAACAAAACGGAATTTACATAGGTCAAGCAGATATGTGGAGTTGATAATTGTGTGATTGTAACATATGAACCGCACGGTTTGATTGTTTGAGTGTGTGTAAGGGGCGGGGGTAGCTATGCAGGTTACCTTAAACTTTTACTATTATCCATTGTTACTGTTTTTTGCTACCATGCAACCAACCAATCAAACAAGCGACCAACCACCCAACCAAACAAACAACCAACCAGCCTTTGAAATGATCTCTTTGAGTCAGGCAGTGTGTAAAACACATAACATACACAAAAAATGCACAAACAGTTGACTCACCTGCACAACAAAGCAAAGAATGTGGCATAAGACCCTTTGCCCGTCTTGATTAGCTTCATGTATCCCCGTGGCGTGTGTGGGTCCGTCACCCCGCTGTAGAACGACCCGTGAATGTTTTGGTGAAACAACCAAACAAAGATGGCGCGTGCTTTCTGTAAGTCCGTTGTGCAGTTGGCTGTTAGTGCGCGACTCACGGCGTCATAGCTGCTCGCGTTTGTTCTTGCCATCTGTGAATATATTATGAACAAACACATCTCAGATAAGCATTAATGTGCAGTAGAACCAGCTCTAACGGCCTCCCGTATAAGACAATCACATGTACAAACGACCACTATCCACTTCCTCCCTTGCGTATGGTGCGTTATAATGACACTGGAAGACAGACACCTGTCTTAGACGGCTACTTCTTTTCTCGACAATGGGAGGTCGTCTTAGACAGTTTCGACTGTATTTCCATATAAGGCAGACCTGTGTATGACAGCCCGGCATTGTCGAGGAGAAAGGTGGCCGTCATACGCAGGACTTATCAAAATGAAGAAAACAAACCATTTACTTCTGAGGTCCCAACTGGAGGTGGCCACAGGCTTTGGACTGCCGTAGGGTTGGTTAAATTTGTTGTTGTTGTTGTTGTTGTTGTTGTTGTTGTTGTTGTTGTTGTTGTTATTGTTGTTGTTGTTGTTGGTGGTGGTGGTTTCTTTTGAAAGGGGGGGGGGGCGAGGATAGGACGGTTTTTCTTGTAAGACTTTTTGTTGTTAGTTTTATTTATTCTTTAAAAAAATATGGTTTCCAGAAACATCAGAACAAAACCAAATGTGTCAGACGAGGAAGGCCTCGTGCCGTAGTAAAAAAACAACAACAACAACAAATGGGTCGCCACCATCCACCATTCGGCGAACAAGCGACACTTCTGTCGAGGAGTTTGTGTTGACTTCTATTGCAATTGACAAGGTTTACGTACACTCTTTACCTACCAGCAGCTGAAAATTTATTGTTACCCATTGGTCAACTTGGGTAAACATGGGGAGCGACCAAGGCAACTTGACCCTTTCATCCATTGAAAGGACTGGCAATAACTACAGGTGAATGAATTATGACAGCTTTTCCACAGCGTCAGGGGAAATGGACAATAATTTCTGACAAAACCTGGCCATGTTAGGCAGGCAAATTAGGTCGGGGTTGATAGAACAGGGTGGCCGCGGTTGCGTTGGACAGGTGCCCGTTTTACGCAGTTAAATTATAAAGAATGTAAAGTGGCCGTTTGTACAGGTGACCGTATTATACAGATGGCCGTTATGGCACGTTCGAATATATGAATACACAGTCGAACCTTTCCACGACAACCATCCAAATGTCGAGGGGAAAAGTGGTCATCTCAAACAGCTCGTCCTCTTGTACATGTACAGTGTAACAATATGTTTTCTAAAGATGCAAAAGGGTGGGGGCGGGGGAGGGAGTGGGGAGTGGTCGTCGATACAGGTGCTTGTTTTGGATAGGTAGGCGTTAGAGCAAAGAGGATTAGGATGGTTGGGGTGGGGGACTATACAAAGAAGACTCAAAGGAATTAAATTTTCCTTTGAATCTTTGGTCGTCGCGAATGTCAGCCACATTCAGATTTTCAAATAGTATTTATAACTTTTTCGGTGCTTAAAAGAAAGTTTCAACAGAAAAAATGTTAACAAATCCGATAACTTCCTGTTTTTTTCCATGTGTATGCAATCATTAGAAACAGCCAACAAACAATGTGTTAAAGATCATTACGTGAAACTGTCAGACGGTCGAAAATGTTTGACTTATAGAAAAAAAAAGAAAAAAAATTGTTAAGTGTTTGCGGCCAGACCATTTTTTACAACTTCAGTATAGGGTGATAACTAAATCGTTTACCTGCTTCGCTTTGTTGTCAATGGCAGTGAAATCAGCTGGTTTGAAAATGTCATCTTTGGTGTTTTCGGGCGGTTTGGGAGCAGGGTACTTAGGATCAAGATCTGGAACATCGATCTGTGGGACAAATAGCATAAAAAAAAACAACACACTTTTGCTATGGTTGGCTTGATCGTCATTTTATGATACATGTATGAGCTTGTTCCGTAACGTTAGTTCCATACCAATGGTCGAAGGCAATCACCCACAGACACGCACAAACACACACACACACACACACACACACACACACACACACACATACACTCAAACACACACTCAAGCTTAGACACACTGACACTCACAATAATATGGTCTAGAGGTTAAGGCGTTCGTATCTCATTCAAAAAGTCCCGGGTTCGAATCCGGATAGCGAACGAAACTTTTCTTCTCTAAAATGTTTCCCTTTTACCTCCTTTCCTGCTCTCTAACAATGATCTGTCGACTGCTTTCGTCCCCACTGACTGTCCACTCTCCCCTTCCGCTCCCCCCTTCCTCTACCCTTTGTCCCTTCCTCTGGGCTCCTGACTCTTTCTGCAGCCTTCCTACTGCTACACCTTGGCTCCTTTTTACTGCTGTCTTTCAGTCACACCCCTTATCTCATGGTAGGTAAGATCTACACCTAGCCTTCTCGGATAAGGGCGAAATATCTCGGAGGACGCATGTGCAAGTTGTGAACGTCAAAGACTCCTTGGTAGTTCAAAATCGATAAGAGTAGGCTTCAGCCACCACACGAGCAAAATTTAATATTTCCTACCAACTGAAAATGCTCAGCGTGTGTCCCGCACGCTCATAATGACCTTATGCAGTTGCGAGCGCCGTAAAAAAACAACCACTTACTAAAAAGACAAAACACACCCTCCCCCAAAAACCCCTCTATAAACTGGGGTGTCTAAAAAAAGAGAACCAGTTTAAACAGCAACAGGTCGTCCCTCTTTGCCCCAATTTCGACGAAACTTTGAACAAATAAAATTCAACAAAAGGGACCCCACATTCGTCAATGAGGAGAAAATGAAGTAGTGTCTTTGAGAAATATCATGTTAAAATTTTTTAACAAACTGAGTAAAACGTTAAACGTTACAGCTTACAATAATGTGCGTTTTCCGAAACGACACTGGACCGAAACCAAAACCGAAACAAGAACCAGTCTGTATTCCGACTGGTTTTGTCATGTGAAGGTTGAAACAGATCAACACTCTTCGATTCTGTTGGAGCATACGGTGATGAAGCTACATACACGTTTCTGCATATAAAGATTGCTGCACACAAAGATAGCTTACATAGTCCCTGGGTTGGCGCTCATATGACCTTATGCAATTGAGAACGTCGTGAAACCTTACTAAAACAAACAAAACAGTCTCTGGGTTCTAGGGTCATCTCTAAAAAGATTGAGTAGAGTTGATGAAGAACAGTGAGAACTTATCAAGCACTTGACGTTCACCAAAGTCCCGCTGAGAGTTCGAACGAGGCCCACCTTACTGCCGTCTTGCATGATAAATTACATGCACGGAGTTGACTGAGCTAACAAGAGTCCCTTAGGTGGGATTATAGAATTTAATCACAAAGTTTGCTTGGCAGGGTCTTGTCAGGTCGGGTTGGGAAGAGCGGACGGCCAGTGTACACTTAATAAATGGAAATCTACTTGATTAAAGTTTAACCTCTTCATGAGCATGGTTCCTGATATATCTGTTGAGGACGACAATAGAAACAGCGGGAGACGGCAATATACACAGCGAGAATGTCTCAGCCAAAAAGAAAAGGAGCAACAATTCAAGTGCTTGTCGGTGCTACGATTATTATTATTATTATCATTATTATT